AGCATGAAACCGCCACAAGTATTTACCATAAGAAAAAAAAAATGCACAAACTTGCCAAATTCCATTGTTCCAATATGGGGATTCAAAACGGAATCAAGGGTCAAGTCAGAGGGCTTCAACGTCTGGATTTGACCATTTTATAGGGATGGAATCCAGTGGTCCTCGTAGATTTTATTTGTGTTTGTGTTACTACCATCCCAATTTCTCTTTATGAGCTATATTATTTGTAAGCACATTTTTGAACGAGGTTCAAAATATAAGCACGCGTCCAATTTTCTTGAGAAATTCTACCGAAAAAAATTCTGGAGAAAACAACCTCAGCGACATTGACAAATGTATGTAGTTATTTTGCAGTAAGGATAATTAAAAATAAATAAATAAACATTGACAGATGTATTTGACCGTGCATGACCACAATGGCCCAGGTAGTTTGGTTCTGTTTCTGTTTTTTTTTTTTAACCGTTTTGTAGCTGAGACAGATTTAGCTGCAACTCGTAGTATATGCCTTCTATACCCTTCTTTCTTTTAATAATAATAATAATTTTTATCAAAAAAAAGCATTAAATTTATATACCATTTGCGAAATATCAAAATTTACAGCTGTTTTTAAGTAGGGCATAACTTGGTAGACTGAATAAACATCATTTTTAGGACGAGTTCATGATCATGAGCCCTTCCTTTTCCCTGCCTGCCTAACGCTAAACATGACCAGGTTGTTAGGTCACTTGAATTTGATATCCCTCTATAAAAAGGAGGGGTGGGATAAAACATTCAAACTCATAGAATTGTAGGATTTCCATGGTACCCTATTCTTAGGGGTGCAATTTGGGTGGGCTCGGATTAGGTTTATATGTAAATTTGAATGGGTCTGCTCCAAAGGCCCATGCCCTACAGTGTAAAATGCTAACTCAGGCAGGGGGGGAGCCAAGTATATTGGTGGGTCTTCCCCCATCTCAAACATTTGAACTAAAATGTAAAGGATCGTCATCAAGCGCTGTTCCAATTCTCAAACCTTCTCAGACTATTTTTCTCTAAACCCTACCTCTTCTATTTTCTATCTCATTTTCTTGTTTAACTTGGCATTCCCAAAAGAAAAACCTGAGTTGCTTCTCTATATATTCTGTTTCTACCCTTAATTCCCCTACAATGTATGCTACCAAAATATATTTCCTATTTACAAATAAAACAAAACTATGTTTTCTTAAATATATTTACATAAACCATTAATATTACTGTCCAATATATTGTCATAAACTTGTGTTACCATATCAAACATCTATTCCAAATTATAGGGATGGCAATATCACATGTTAGGGGAGGGTTTTGTAAATTCTAAGCTTTTCCTGCCACCCCAAACCTCCCAATACAAACCCTTTCAAAATCTGCAGCAAGTTAGAATTTTTAAAATCTTAATCCTCTCCGCACATAAAAATGTAAAGCCCTTTTTATTTCTATCCTCTCTATATTTGAAGATAGGACAGATTGTCCAAAATATGAAAAATCTAAGACACAAATCATATGCAATTATTATTCTTTTTTTTATAACTCGACTCTAAAAATCACAACCAACTACCTGGTTTGCTTCGCGATAGGAATGGAAGTACATTACACCGAGCTCCAGCATCTGGCTCTAAATATCCACGGAGTCTGGCAAAATTAATAAAAATGGCGTTGCCCAGACTTGAAGTGGAGACTTTCAGTGTATTAGAATGGCATAATTAATAAACATTAAATTGGAATTTCTAAAATTATGATTGTACAAGTGAACATAAACAAATACATACCTTATGTATTGATGGATAGGTATTTGAATTTGTTATTTATTGTCTATGTGAGAATGTCATTGTGGGGAGATGTTTAATTACTTGAGAATGATCTCAGAAATACACAAAAAGGATATTTTTAGCATTATATAATGTTTAACCGACAAAATAGTAACCATAACGGATGAACCCAACTGTCTATCATACTCAAATGTTGCAATTAAAAGTTCAAAATACCTATCTGCCACTATCCCTAAAAAACAGGGTACTATCTATAATTTACTCTTATTTAATAAATTATTTACTTGTTAAATCTATTTCTTGGCCATTACGTCTGTGTTTACAGATCCATTTGCAAACGTCTCTTGTTAATAGACCCCAGATTTTGCCATGAAAAGGAGGGAGCAGAGAGTATGAACATGTCTTTGGGACAGCACAGATTTTTCCTTGGAAGTCATTAGAATTTGCATTGAAAATTTAATTTTATGCATACATATGGAGCCCAAAGGTACCCAGTATCCAAAGTATCCAAAGTAAGATGAGTTTTGCTTGTCATGTGAAAGTAACAACAGAGAGCAGAATCAAATCTAATGTGTAATTAATATTTAAGAGAGGCGGTGGATCCAAGTTAACTATATATTTATTCAAGTAATAAAACACAGCTCTCGATGTCTGTCACCTTATTCTAGCGAAGACCTGTACGGGAATCTGGTTCTAGGTTCAAGCATCCTGTTGGAAATATATGTATATAAAAGATCGAAGATCTTTATTTATTTTATTTTTTTTGGTAAACCAGAAGTTCATTAACGATCGAAGATCTGAGGAAGTCTAAATCTAATAAACAAGTGTCGTATTATTAATTGCACAGGAACTTGTTTGGCACTAGTGTGTGGACAGTTTCAACGACCAATGCTTTTCTTGATTTTGCCCAAGGAGAGAAAAGCCTTCCTTCCCATCTTCCCATGTGCAATGCGACAGCAGACAATAAACAAACATCAAAGGAACTTTCCTATACTGCCTACAAAAACCTAACGAATTATCCTTTTTATTCACTCAATCTATTTTTCACTGCTCTCTCTCTCTCTCTCTCTCTCTCATGGTGGATGATATAGGCACACCTATCAAAAGAAGCAAGCCCTTAGGCTTAATGGATTGAACTAAGTTGTCCATTATTAACTTGTCTGGTGATTGACACAGAAGGTGTCTCCTTGTCTTTCATATAGGAAGACACTGCCCTAGTAAACAATGTATTGCATACGTCAAGTACCTGTTGAAGTGTCTAAAATCCATTTTAGATTCTCAGTCTCTTCCCCATGTAAAAATACTGAATAGGTGTTGGAAGGGGTGGATGATGAATCAGCTCTGGTGAGGAAGCATTAGATCTATTGTTTATTTCTGCTACGTAGCTACAATGCGCATCTGTGGAGTGATGTTATGTTCCAATTAATGTTTAACTAAACTATAATTGATCCATTAAACTAATTTTTAAAGTATAATGGTCTTTTAAACTAATCTTAAAGCTTTAATCAATATTTTACAACATTTTTCTATGTTGGAATGAGACTTCATAAAATTTCAGTAAAGTTAATAACAGGTAGTGCCAATTGTGAAATGCGACTCTTATCACTCCACCCACTCGAGTAAGCAGTGGAACAGCTATACCATGGCGATCGATCGATGAACGTAAATTTGGCTCAACCTTTGCACTTGGGTTGCTGGTATGCGTCTCGAAGATGTGACATCACAGCAATGTAATCAATAGGTATTGAGAACTTTTCATCAATTTATGGAGTAGGTAGAATCCACTAAACTGAAAATGGAGAAGTTTGGTAGTAGCATTTCTGCTCTTCTGGACCACTATGGATGGTGCTCAGGCTCAGAAGCTTAGCACTAGCACTAACGCTAACGCTACCTGGGAAACTGAGATACATAATTTGTGGTAAGCCATGTGGGCTGTGGCTTTGGGGAAAAGGGTCAAGAGCTTCTCATAAAATAATATTCTCACTTCCTTCGCAAGCCATGCTTTTCTATAAAGTAGTAAAGTTGGAGATTTGAGATTTCCCAGTAATGATTTACTCGGGTTCAGAGAAAAGAGGGACCCACTTTATCCTACCAGGTGCGAGGGACCCACCAATACCAAAGTAGTGAAATAAACCATTTTGGAGTGAGTTGCCTAATGGGATTCTACAAAAAGAGMCAATGGGTTTGTGTGCTCACTAGTGGGTTGTTGGGCCAAAGTCTTTAACAAAAAAGTTTAGGGATGTGCATTAATGCGTGAGTATCCCAACTTGGGAAATGAGCATGAAGAAGGCATTGTTAAGTACTGTTAACCTTCTTTTGGCGCCAAGTTGAATGTGATTAGTTATTTGCATAGCGAGGACTGTGGAGGAACAAGAACTAAATCCTCCTTTATCCTTACCAAGCCCACTTAGGCCCATTTTTAGGAGCATGGGAATCCAAAAATGGGGAATGGGGAATGGGGAATGGGGAATGGGAATCCAAAGCATGGAAGTGAAAAAGTTAAAAGAAATAAGGGAAAGAGAGCGCGTGGTTACAGCAGATCTCGTCGAATGCTGCCACCATCTGCGGTTGCAGCTGTTCTTGGTCACATTTGTGTTGAACATGACACGAGAGAAAATAGAGAAAAGAGTCGGGTTTTCACTTTTCAGTCAGGAGACCGGTAAATTTTAACCGTTACCCGTTGGCCACCAATAGCCCAACCGCTCAAATCCCCTACTCTACAACAAAATTACGGGGGGTTGCCATTCCTGCTGTATCACTATCACCTATTTTGCGGATATTAATCAACTTTATCCAATATTTAATTATCTCTTTACCACAAAAGGTTTTAACTTTTAACTTTATATCGTTCGTGTATACCGAGCGAGATTATTTCTTTCATTGGTCTATTCTAACGATTAACAACGGCTTTCTAAGCTAAGGTGTAGATTCTGTTCTGTTGTCGATTGGTCCCATTGATCTGCTGCATATTTTTGCGCTTTGCGTTTGTTTTGTACACTTCCGTTCAGTTCGTGACGACACGTGTGGAACTGCACAACACTTCGGTAACGTGGCTTTAGTATCCACCATCAAAAGAGCATTTGCTCCTGATTTATATATACTCATTCCCTGTATGATTCTTAAGACACTATAAAATGTTGTGGTATGGTATTAAAGTAATTTTTCAATRTTATAGTCCCTTTTCTGTACTCACAGTAATTTAAAAAACCCGACACCCCTCCGCATCTTCAATCCTTTTTCTCTCTCCCTGAGTCCCTGGTGGCAGTCACTTCCACTGCAGAGTGCAGAGTGCAGAGTGAGAGTGATACTGATAGTCTCTCTCTCGCTCAATCGCGTTAGCCATGGAAATGGCGTCATTCCGTTGGTCCTTGTTGGTTCCACTTCTGCTGCTTCCATGTCTAACTGTCTTTGCTGCCAAGCAGACCTACATCGTTCACATGAACCACCAACAGAAACCCACGTCCTTCCCCACCCACCACGACTGGTATCAATCCCTCTCAACTGATCCTTCCTCCCTCATCTACTCCTATAACAACGCCTTCCACGGCTTCGCCATCTCCCTAGACCCCAATCAACTTGCCTCCCTCCGCCGCTCCGACTCCGTCCTCGCCATCTATCCTGACTCCCTTTACTCCCTCCACACCACCCGCTCCCCCGAGTTCCTGGGCCTCGACTCCGATTTGGGCCTGTGGCCTGGCCACAGTACCGAGGACCTCGACCAGGCCTCTCAGGATGTCATCATCGGCGTCCTCGACACGGGCGTCTGGCCCGAGTCCAAGAGCTTTGACGACATGGGCATACCCCCTGTACCCTCCCGATGGCTCGGCGCTTGCGAGTCTGGCCCCGACTTCAGCCCTTCTGTTTGTAACAAGAAACTCATCGGCGCTCGTAGCTTCTCTAGAGGCTACCGCATGGCCTCCGGTGGGAGACATACCACCAATAACCCCAATCAGATCGAATCACCTCGGGATCGGGACGGTCACGGAACTCACACGGCAAGCACGGCAGCCGGGTCGCACGTGGCCAACGCCAGCCTTCTCGGGTACGCCAGCGGTACGGCACGTGGGATGGCGACACGAGCGCGTGTTGCCACCTACAAGGTCTGTTGGAGTACCGGATGTTTCGGTTCTGACATACTCGCCGGAATAGACCGCGCCATCGCCGATGGTGTCGATGTGTTGTCGCTCTCTCTTGGTGGTGGTTCCTCACCCTACTACCGGGATATCATCGCCATCGGAGCGTTCGCTGCAATGGAGAAAGGCATCTTTGTCTCCTGCTCGGCTGGGAACAGTGGGCCCGGTCGGGCTACGTTGACCAATGTGGCTCCCTGGATTATGACCGTTGCTGCTGGGACCCTAGACCGGGATTTCCCGGCTTACGCCTCGCTCGGTAACGGTAAGCGGTTCGCTGGGGTGTCACTCTACAGTGGAAAAGGTATGGGTACCAAACCGGTCGGTTTGGTCTATAGTAAAGGCAATGAGACGAGCAATTTGTGCTTGCCCGATTCGCTTGAATCAAAACGGGTTCGTGGGAAGGTGGTGATCTGTGATCGAGGGATTAATGCCCGGGTTGAGAAGGGTGCGGTTGTACGTGACGCGGGTGGATTGGGAATGATACTGGCGAACACGGCGGCGAGTGGGGAGGAGATGGTGGCCGACAGCCATTTGCTCCCGGCGGTGGCGGTGGGTTGGAAGACAGGGGATCTAATCAGGGAATACACTCGATCCGATCCAAATCCAACGGCAATGCTGAGCTTTGGTGGGACCGTGTTAAATATACGACCGTCGCCGGTAGTGGCGGCGTTTAGTTCGAGAGGACCAAACGTGGTGACGCCTCAGATACTGAAGCCCGATGTGATCGGACCAGGAGTGAACATATTAGCTTCTTGGTCGGAGTTAGTGGGACCAACTGGTCTGAAGAACGACACGAGGAAGGCTCAGTTCAATATCATGTCTGGTAAGCTTTAACCTAGACGAGGAACGCTAATCCTAATCCTACTACATTCCTACTCTCTCGCGGCCTCGCGGGTAGAAATAGAAATAGAATTATATGAATCTACTCTCACCGCTGCTGCTAATCTGCTGTCCAATGTCCATCCAAGGTGGTTTAATTTAATTAATAAACATTTAGCAAAGCCACTGATCAGATGAAGAAAAAAGACAACACCCTTTCACATGGACCAAAGTAAAAAAGCAATGGYCACTGGTCAGAGTAGATTTCTAATTAGAATTAGCAAACATGAAGCTTCATTTTACAGTCTGATTTCTTGTTGTAGGTACGTCGATGTCGTGTCCACACATCAGTGGCGTGGCAGCATTGTTGAAGGCGGCCCACCCAAAGTGGAGTCCTAGTGCCATCAAGTCTGCCCTCATGACCACCGCCTACACCAGCGACAATACCAAGTCTCCCCTCCGGGACGCTGCCGGCGGGGACATCTCCACCCCGTGGGCACACGGATCGGGCCATGTAGACCCACATAAAGCCCTCAACCCTGGGCTCGTCTATGATGCCACTCCCGACGACTACATCACCTTCCTGTGCTCTTTGGACTACAGCATCGATCAAGTCAAGGCCATCACAAAGCGCCAAAACATCACATGCTCTCGACGGTTTGCTGACCCTGGCGAGCTCAACTATCCCTCCTTCTCTGTCCTATTTGGCACCAAAAAGAGGGTCGTTCGCTACACGCGTGAGCTCACTAATGTTGGACCCACAGGTTCTGTGTATAATGTGGCCATAGGTGGGCCCTCGAGTGTTGGGGTAACGGTTAAGCCCACGAAGCTCGTGTTCAAAGAGGTGGGAGAGATGAAGAAGTATACTGTGACATTTGTGGCAAAGAAGGGATTAAGTAGGATGTTGGGGACTGCGGAGTTTGGTTGGATTGTTTGGAGAAACGAGCAGTACCAAGTCCGGAGTCCGGTTTCCTATGAATGGCTGCACCACTGAGTTGGTTCGTTTGTTTGTTTGATTGATTGATCGATCTTTTCTTTTGGTTGCTGCCTGCTGGCCAGATTTCTTTAGGGCCCACGAGTCGACCGGAGCGCGCAGGAGAAAGGGACGGCAATAAACGGCCCCCAAATCCATGGGGATGGGGCCCATCCCATCTGACTCGTCTCCCAGTCTCAGTGTCTGTTTGATACTAGAGTCTGATCGGGTGGGAATTTTTCCGGTCAGGTTTGGCATTACAGTGGCAGTTGAAATTGCAACTGACTTCAGATTTGTTTGTACTACTAAGTAAGAATTACTGTTAAACCTTAGATACGGTAAGAAATCAAAACCCATCTGAGGTTTAGTGATAATAATATTAAGCCCAAATACAAACATAGGCCCAAATTGCTTTCATAAACATTTGGTCTATTTGGCATCGGTCAGGGCCCAAAAAGAGGTAGAATGCAGACTTTTAGGGCGTCAACTTCTCTCAGTATAATACCGAACTAATGAATAGGTGAATGGTATATCGTAAATGCTGCCAAGAGAGGGTAAGAACACAACAAGATTTACAGGAACCTGTTATCCTTACAGGTTTTGGTGTGTATATTCCGGTTTATTGTTTTTTCACTTTTTTTCGTTTGTCAAACACTGGAGTCTGGACCCAGCCAGGGAAAACAGGTTTTTTTTTTTTATGGCAAAAGGGTGAGCTACACAAACCGGGGGTAGCTCTTTCCCTTACATCCGCATCACAAGTAAAATGAAAATCACAGAACCTAAACTCTCTACTATACTCCCGGTTGTTAAGAGCTTTATGACTAATGAGTCTGCCACTTGATTTACTTCCCGATATGCATGTTTGAATTTGATATTTAAATTGGAGAAGTCAACAAGATTCCGACATTCCTTGATGATACTTTCCATTCTCCACAGTGGCAATAGCCTACCATTGAGGCAATCAATTACTAACTTAGAGTCACCCTCGGTGGTGATTTTCTGATCACTGTAGTTAATCGCAATATTAAAGGCCTTCCATGCTGCCCAAGCTTCCACGAGGTTGATAGTCGAGATTCCAATTCCAAGAGCTTTTGTCTCAAGGACTTTGCCTTTATGGTTCCTATCTATACACCTAATGGCACAGTTGCCAGAATTTGAACAAGAAGCATCAAAATTAATGTTGCTGCAGTTATGTTTGGGTCTCAACCACTCAACATGAGATAAGTATGCTCTTATTGTTACCCAAACAAGAGGAAACCGCTTTAATCTCATTCCAGTAGGCTATCTCTACTAATGATGGTCTCCACATTACTAGTGGGACCATTAAAACTTTTAATGTTTATATTCTTCCAAATAAATCAAGAGACACAAGCAAATTTTTCTCTAGTGAAATTGTCTTTGAAGTTACCTAACGGTTTGCTGAAGCTAGCCCACCACTGGCCCACCAAAGAAATTGAGCACACAGGGATCGGCAGATCCCCGACTAATCTACTCCAAACTTGATTAGCTACATCACATTTAATAAAAAGGCGGTCGATATTCTCAACTTCCCCACAAAAAAAAAAACAAGCTAGATCAATCTCAAAACCCCTGGTAATGAGATTGTTTTTTTTTTTTTTTTTT